TTTTAGTAGGCGGGACAGACGCTTAAGCCGGCCAAGCTGACAGTAATCTAGTGAGACTCCCCACAGGATAGATCGATCTAAAAATCTATGGAAATGGGGTGTTAGACTGGTTTCCCATCCCTAGATCGATCTAACAGGATCGGTCCATCTCCACGGGGTCCCTCGCTAAATTGTTTTCAGCCCAAGCAGCTTAGACGTCTGGGACGCCCACTAAAGCTGCTAAACGATAGTTAATTACCCTCTAACACCCTCAGCAGGCGTGACAGACATCTAAACTTCCCAAGTTAATTGCAATTAAGCGAGAATCCCCTCGGAGGTAGTTCGAAGCAAATTAGTACGATAGTCACTGGGAATAATCTCTTAGACAGTTGAATCTGAGGAAAAACCACTTGTACACAAAAAGAAGGGCATAACTTCATTAAAACTGAACCGATCAAGTTTTTTTGACTTGATCCGAATAATAGTCCTGTGAATCAGTCCTACAAGCTTAGCTGTCAATTCTGTATATTTATTTATCTTTTTTGCTCAGACTGTTTAAGGGGATTTGAACTGCGCTCTGTTAGTATCATATTAACTTTTTTCTATTTTCATTTAAGTTTTATTTTATGGAATTTTCACCGCGGTGAAAATTATTTCTACCGCGAACTATGAAAATAGAAAAAAGTTACTATGATACTAACAAAGCTCTGTAGATTTGTAATTAATTGTTTCCTCGTCCATCTTGCTTAGGGTCATTGTATCTGTCTATTTTGATGTCCGTGCCATGTTGATTGTGTGGCATTTTTATTCACCTTCACGTATCTTTGGGGAAAATTTTGACAATATTTAGCTTCGCTATTAGATATGGAGAAGCATGGGCTTCGGACGCCTGCACTATTAAATATTATGAAACGATCTGACTGAAGATAAAATCTAGTAACTCCAAAAAAAAAAAAAAACAAAACAAAAAACAAAATTGTTTAACTGGATACAGAATAGTTGGTCAAACAGTTTGTTTTGTTCAACCACTTAATTAAAACCGCTGATAACTGATAAAAAACCACAAGCGTCCTAACTCCGAAATGAGTCATCCAGTACTATCAGATGTCTCTGAATAAGTCGAAGAAGAGGGTCTCCATGGGTATTTTTGTACCAGTGAAAGCCACTTTTCTGTCCGACTTTTTATTTCCCCGAGATGCACGACTCATGAATGCGGCTTTTTATTCTTGGCCCTTCGCGAACGAAGTCATTATACCCGGTGATAGTTCATTTTCAGGATTTTTGATCTGAATAAGGTTAATTTACGGTGCTTTGTGAGTTGATGATTTTATTTACCCTTGAACCGTGATCACTACCCCCACTGAACCCTCGAAGAACCACCCATGTCGACAGTAATACGTTAGCGTAAAGCGTGCTTATCTGAGAATCAAATAAACAATCGGCCCGTAAAGATGTCCACGGTCTCCTGATTGATGTTATGATAATGTGAAGGTTTGGCAAAAAATGCAAAATCCAGTGCAGTCAGGGATGGAAAAATCTTAGTGCAGGGCTTNGTGAACTTAAGTTTCCCATCTATATTTACCACCTATATAATTAAAGTCCCGCTTGCAGTTTTATGCAAAGGGAATCCCATATTGTTATTACTAAATACTTAACGTTATTTTTGGACAATGTATTTTTAAATATTTTTGTGATGTGTTTGCCCATACATCTTATCTTAAAAGATGTAATCTCGGTTTCTCGGAAAGGTTTCTTTCTACCAATATTCCCAATAATACGCAAATTATTATTTAGGGAAAAGCCACGTACAACATTGCAGCATTTCGGTGATTTTTAATCTATGCGAATACTGCCCGCTTCCTCCACATTCCTGGGATGATTGGCACATAGACTGGTTAAACCGCGTGCATGTGCATGTGAGTGTCTTTATCAACTTCCTTCCCAGACATCTGGTAAATTTTGGATTCGTATAATACGGAGCTTTGTTAGTATCATATTAACTTTTTTTATTTTCATTTAAGTTTTATGTTATGGAATTTTCACCGCGGTGAAAATTATTTCTACCGCGGTGAAAAATAATTTACACCGCGGTGGGAATTAATTTTCACCGCGGTGGAAAATAATTTTCACCGCGGTGGTAATTCCTGGCCATCTTGGCCCGGGTAATGCATACATGTAGGTTATATGAATCCAACATTTACCAGATGTCTGGATAGGACGTTGATTAAGACAAGCACATGCACATGCACGCGGTTTAACCGGTCTATGTGCCTATCATCCCAGGAATCTGGAGGAAGCGGGCAGTATTCGAATAGATTAAAAATCACCGAAATGCTGCAATGTTGTACGTGGCTTTTCCCTAAATAATAATTTGCGTATTATTGGGAATATTGGTAGAAAGAAACCTTTCCGAGAAACCGAGATTATATCTATTAAGATAAGATCTAAGAAACACATCACAAAAATATTTAAAAATACATTGTCCAAAAATAACTTTAAGTATTTAGTAATAACAATGGGATACCCTTTGCATAAAACTGCAAGCGGGACTTTAATTATGGAGGTGGTAAATATAGATGGGAAACTGAAGTTCACGGCAGTGGCCCCACGAACAGATCCACCAACCTTGTGTGTATGTAACAATAGCATGCACCGTGACGGAATCTGGCAAATGTAAGGTTCTCATTACCTATTCATCACCCGGGCCGAGATGGCCAGGAATTACCACCGCGGTGAAAATTATTTTCCACCGTGGTGAAAATTAATTCCCACCGCGTTGTAAATTATTTTCACCGTGGTGAAAATTATTTTCACTGCGGTAGAAATAATTTCCACCGCGGTGAAAATTCCATAAAATAAAACTTAAATGAAAATAGAAAAAAGTTAATATGATACTAACAAAGCTCCGTAGTATAACCTACATGTATGCATCACCCGGGCCGAGATGGCCAGGAATTACCACCGCGGTGAAAATTATTTTCCACCGCGGTGAAAATTATTTTCCACCGCGGTGAAAATTAATTCCCACCGCGGTGTAAATTTATTTTCACTGCGGTGAAAATAATTTTCACCGCGGTAGAAATAATTTTCACCGCGGTGAAAATTCCATATAATAAAACTTAAATGAAAATAAAAAAAGTTAATATGATACTAACAAAGCTCCGTAGATAACACAATTTGTAACATTTTTCGTTAGCACAATAGACACCGTGGCACGTTTGTCCTTTGTGTACGTTGGACTCTTTGTACAAATCTAAAAGAAATGAAAAAAAAATACGTAAGTATGCGATAATAAGAAACTAAGAAACTAATAGAAACAAACTACAGTATATGCGTTAAAGGAAAAAAAAATACATTTTACAATTACTCACATTATATGCTATCTACGGTTCCAAACACAGGTGACCAACCGGTATGCTTGCTACTTGTCTACTAAATTCTCTCGAGATTTCTATATCATGCATACCCAAAACCACGTGACTGATTACTGTTCACCTAACTAGAGTGACCACAGGGTCATGTGACTTGGCGCACTAACATTTTTGGTTGCAAACTGTACAGTTAAATGCCCTGTAAGCTAATGAAATGCTTGACAAATTCAAAATACCATGGAAAATAAATCACATTTAATTTTTATGATAAGAATATTCACATGGGACCGTAAATATCTCTGTCCGGTAAGGTTTGTTATGGCGACTGTCGGTAGCTCTTCTTGCTTTGTACTTAGTACGCGTGCGGTACTTTTTAAATCCAGCAACCGTCTCTTTAACAAATTTTTGCACTTAGACAAGATGTAAATATTAGAAATTACCGAAGCTGATTACGTTCAATCAAGGAGGTACTCCTTGGTGTCAGTAAGAGGGATGTATTTGTTTTCATTTGCAAAATGTCATCCGGCTTCGTTTTGGAAACAGACGGGCAACAAAAGCGTAATTACTCGATTACTTCCTTAAGAGAAATTTATCATCGTTCAGACAGGCTTTATGTACATCTGTCCTGGCCTTGGACGAATAAATTTGTCGAACTATTTAGCCACGACACGACGATCCTACATGACGACGATGAGATAAAGAGAGATGAATCATATCCTTGCCATAACAGTGCTAATAAATGTTATACTTTATTCATTGTACTGTAGTTTATACATCCAGATATTTACAGCCGACATCTACATTGGTTGATGAAAATGTACAGTAAAAATTAAGTATACTATTAAACAATAATAATATATCGTGAATTATGACTACTCTTATAAAATAACATGATATATAATTTGCTGCTGTATGTTTAATCTTAACCAGAAGATTCGGCACCCGTCAGAATCTGAGAACGCGCCTACAAAGCAGACAAAATCTGCCAAGTTGAAGGGTCTTTTAAAAAGCCGCCCAGAAGCGTTCGATTAGACTACATGTAGAGGACAGATATGATTCAAGTAGACAGAAGATAGAAGTAAGAATATTATTATTAAAAAAAACCCAGAAACTGTCATGTTTAAAAAGATAAATGAATGAATGAAAATAAATAATCTCACACTTTTCAAAAAAAAAAAAAAGAAAGAAAGAAAATAAGAATCTTCCGTCTTTCAAGACGTGTAGTTGTAGTGCACCTTGTATTACACGTATACTAAAATTTGTGATAATAAATAATATTAACAGTATAAACAAATAATAAAACTTCAGTTTAATTCATATTTGTTTGTGGTTTATCACTTTTTCTTCAATAACTCCTTATTTTCTTGCATTGGATTGGCATTACGTTAAATTTTGTTATTTCAGATGTTCCGAAGCTATCATAAAAACGGCTCTTTGTTTGTATAAGGATTATACAATGTATACAAATTGTGCAGCAGCCAGGACAGTTGCTGTAAAGCAGGATGAGAGTTCAGCACTACAGAATCTGACGTAGCAGAGCTGCGTGTAAGAACAGATGGTTCCAATCTCAACGTTCTGTACAGGTCTTTTCTGCTGATAATACTCATATACATATGAAACCAGAACGGTCAAATACACATGGACTGAAAGGTGGCTAGTATGAAAAAATAATATAAACGCAACAGTGTTGATGTAGACAAATGCCATTCTCTATCACTTATGCAAAATGTATTTTATGGTCTAGATTCTGGGAACTGCAGTTTATATATTCAGACCTGTTTTGTATCTGGCAGCCACCAGGTCAATCACGCAGTGTTATTTTTGGCTGAGCCCAAACAGTTTACAAACACAGTGTGTTGCATTTCTAGTTCTCCTTGCGTCAAGATCAGACGTCAAATGTACCAGCTAGTGGCTGTCTAGAAGGTAAAACAGACATCTCATGTTCTGATAGGGTGAATCTGACTTTTATAACTAAAAAAGCTGAACAGGCTCTTTGGATATCACAAGTCGGAGGTAGGTGTGGTTTTCCATACTAAATCTTGTTTAAGAATCTGTGTTTTTGAATTTAAACCTACACAGATGCACATTTGAAGTTCTATGGTTTTAAGTAAATAGCGAATTGCGATCTTCAAATGTGAAAGTTATCATCATCTCAGTCAGTAACCCGAAATGACTACAACCTCGATACTACTTACCTTTATAGGTAATGATACCTGACTGAGTATCTGGACAAACACCGACCGACGAAGAGAATACGTAAGATTGAATGTGTTGATGAACTAATACGATAATGAATAGTTAAAATACGACATTCACTTTTTTCGTCAGAAGAAATTCGAAAGGTTCAGTCGACGTACTGAAATTCAACATAATTCAGCCGATTATTGTCTCATGTAAGCGGAAATCGGACTTGGTGATAATGGTTACTAGATATAATGTCAATGAATCTGAAAATGAGGATTATAACGCGTCTGTGTTATTGCTACGTTTCCTGGGTTTATACAAATAACGTGAAGTAAAGGTCAAACGGCTCCATCACATATTTTTGTTTCTAGATGACGTCAATCATTTTCTGATCGACAGGTTGCGCACTATCCAAACATTTTATGTTCATTTCAGACAGATCAATCTTTTCTTTTCATTTTGCATGGTGGATGAATCCCGCCTCAGTAATCATGAGTAATCTGTAGAATAGATCAACTAATCCATTACTCATGAGTCTTGCTCTTTTTCAGAATGAATTGTAGATTCGGACAACATAAGCAGTTAGCAAAAACCAGGCAATGAGATTGATGAGACGGGTTTTCTGAAACATTGTAACGCTCTTTTCAGAGCGTTCTTAACACAATAAGTGCGCAAAATTGACATTTTCTTGCATAACGAGGTCAGAATGTCGGTGACAAGTGCCATGGATGTAATAGACTATGAGGTCTGGAACTTCAACTATGACCCTCATTTATTTCGCCACCCGCTTTGGATGACCAGCAATCACTTAAAATATCGACTGTACAGAGATAATCTCGGTGTTATGCACTGTCTGAAGGATGGAGAAGGAAGATACATCAAATCACCACGGTATGATTTTGCTTACTTAAAAACAATGTGCCTAAATAAGTATTTTTCAAGCCTCTTGAATGTAAATGTACATTATGTAGTATAACAAATAAAGATATATAGGCTCTGTTCTCACAACTTTTAGATCGATCTATCACCGCGGGGAGTCTCACTAGATTACTGTCAGATAATCCCCCTTAAGTGTCCGTCCCCGCCTACTACAAGCTTTAAGGGGTAATTAACTTTCGTGTCCGCCCGGCTGACAGCTATTTAGCGTGAACCCCCAGGGAGTTGGGTCGATCCAATGTAGGTCGATCTAATCTATGAGAATGGGGTGATAGATATATAAATAAAGATAAAGTGATATATAGATTGTATGTGAATGCCATTAAAGCCTTTTAAAATGGATACAACTCTTGAGCGTATAATGTAGACCAAAAGACTTGTTACATGGAAAACAGGCCACTGAGGTGACAAAACGAATACGATTAAATATAACCAATATATAAGAAATATAGTTGTCGCTTTCAAAAGACGAATTTACTACCCCTTTTAACATAAAACGACATAAGATGTCACGTCAAAGAAAAGAGGAAACACAAGATTCAAATGTAAAAAAAATATTCAGTAAGAATTTGACCCCTTTCAACCTTGTTTCCTCCTTCGCGAATATTATTTCAAGAAGTCTTTGTCTTATACACGTTTGATAATTGATTGCTAACACAATTTCAGGTCTCTCTCCGATGTCTGCATCTATGACATTGTTTGTAACCTCGACATTTTGCGGCAGATGCAGGACCCGTATTTACCCTTGGATCTTTACCCTCGACTCCTCTCAGAGGCCATCTATCAACGTGAACTTCATGCGATTGAATATCTCATCGCCACTTGGCCTCAGTCAGTACTTAAACTGTATGACGTCGTGCCGTTAGAAGATCAAATTGAGCACGATTATTTGACCACACCAATTGACGGCAACGAAGGCACTAACCTACTGGACTGCATCATGCTTGGCCTGTTGAATAGACAGCCCCAAGCAATGATGCAAGTCATTGATTTCACTGGTTTTGAAAAGGGTATGCGATGAAATGAGAAATCGAAACATTAATATTTTCATTAATCTGTTTTGTATTTTGCTGATATTTCGTCTTACTTTAATTCACTGTTTATTTATGTATATGTTTGTTTTAGCAATGTAACAAATCCTATCACCTTACAATGTCCAGGAATATTTACGCGTACGTGTAACTTTAGGCAAATGTGAAGTTATGTATTGTAGCATTATTATATTTCAAATGACTAATTCATTATGTGGCTTTCCGTTGCTGTTGCCATTCATTTATGACTAAGAAATGAGTTTTTTTACTTTGTCTTTTTAGATCGTAAACTTTGCAGAGAGTTGTCAAGACTTCCAGTATTGTGGATGGAGCCTGAAGATAGAACTGTTAACATGCTATACGACTATATGTATCCTACCTATGGTGAGTTCTAATGTCATTACCTGTCTCAAGGACGAAGGAGTGTGATGATGTGAAATCAAAAGGTAACAATGGTAATAATGTTTGGTGGATGTTAGCAATGATAAGATGTTTCTGAACATTTTACGGTATTGCTAAGGTTGAGATTGCAATGTTATTTCTACATTTTAACTCAGCTACATGTTTCATAAATGTAAGATTTCATTTTTTTCTTTCCAAAGCCTTATGTTTGTGTTTTCTAGTTTTAAACTGGAATCATTTGGATTCGCCAGTGCTTCCTAGAATGACGTTTATTTGTTGGCCTGTAACAAATGATATTGCTGCTTTTTGTTTCAGAAATCGCGAAGGACAAAATTCAGAGGTATCTGAACCGAATATCCGTAATATATCACCAGTTTGATAGCGAGTTTAAACATGGCACTAAAATGGGTATGTACTACACAGAATGTGAGTGTCAGAAGTGCCCTTTAGGAGATTGGTACCGGAGCGGTAATGGTATTACGGACATGTTGTTATTTGCTTTTCCGATAACAGTGTGTTCTTGCACGTCGGTCTTAGAAGTTGTAAGGCGCACAATGAATTTTTCCTGGAAATTTCAACATCTTTCATTTCATCACCAAGGTACACCATATCCAAAACCGTTAACAAATTACGAACAATAAAACCGTTTTTTTTTTTTCGAGTACTAGGTTTCTCACATTGACTCGCTCTCGTAATGGAAATTTCACCAGTGACGGTAAAGATTGAAAACTTCGAACTTCAGAAATGGGTTTATAGCTCGTGATCTTCTCAATGGTTTTGGCTACAATGTAGGTCTACTTTGTGATTGATAAGAAAATTGCTGGCATTCTGGAAATGAATTTTCTGCTATGTAAAGGTCCAATGTGCATTGTATATTCCTTTACCGTATAATTTTTATTAAACATTTACATATATTTCTCTGGCTAATTCTGTGTACATGTCCGTACTGTGTGAATTTTTGCATAGAATTTTTGCGCAAAAATGATGTCATTAAGAAGGTGACCTTTGATGGAGACCACATTGTTTGTCCTAAACGCACTGCAATCGCAATTTTTCAGCCCCCCTCACCATTCTGTTGGATTTAAAGATGACCCTTGATGATGTTGCTTTCGGTTTGTGTCTCCAGTGGCATACACCTTTTAGGTTTGTATGTAACAAACTGTGGATAAAGGAAATACCTGAAGTTGGGACATCAACCAAAAGACTTGCCAATGTGTTGGAATTGTCCGTAAGTAAATCTTTTTTATTTTATGGATTCAGCTAAACTGTATGATGGATTCCAAGCAACTACAATAAGTAATTAGTAAATAAATATTCGCAAGGTTATTTAATCCTAATTATTTTTAATGTACAGACACAGATGTGCATGTGCATATAGCTGTCACCTGCGTCTGTCGTCGCCGTCATCATCGTCGCCGTCGTCACCGTGCACTTTCGGTGCCATAGCGACACGTGGAAAACTATTAAATACATCAAATCCTGCTCAATGTTTATACATTTGACAGTTTTGTTGCCGTGTCTCTTATGTTTATGAAAAAGGATTAGGGTTGGAAGATCTTGCAAATGTTTGTTTTTCAATATTTGTAGTTGCTTGGAATACACAAGTTTAAGATGTGTTACTAAGGTGTGTTGTCTTAGGTTCATTATGACGCGAGAGAACTTTTTTTTTCTAGAAGAGAAGTTTTTTTATAAGTATTTATCAGGAGACATGCAAATCATTTTATCTTATGCTTTTTTCATCGACCAATAGCACGTGTTCTGGTGTAAAAAAGTAAATCGTTTCTAAAGAAACAAAACGTTTTAAACTTACATTACATGTACGTTTCTGGACCAAACGATTTACTTTTTTACCACCTCTACTTCTGCGACAATTAGCACACTCAGAACAGCAGATTAACAGATCCGCGGATCAAATATGGCGACCCTCTAAAAAGCTTGTCGCTTATAACCGATTAGACACTGAATAGATTCCCCGTAACAAACATTCAAGTGCGTAGGCCATATTTGATCCGCGGATCTGTTAGTCCGCTGATCTGAAGCGCTCACTGAAATCATATTTCATCTCAAAAAATTTTTGTGTTTAATTGATAGCTACTCACTCATTTGGAAATCTCCAGTCCATGCATCGCCAAGGATGGTAGGAAACTGAGAGAGTTTCTGGCGGGTTTAGAGCAGTTGAAACACGTCACAGCACTCAGCATACCTAGTACTGTCGACACCTCAGTTGTACCACAGGCGGCAGAGAAGATCAACAAAACTCTACAGAAAATGAGAACTTTGAAACGCCTCAACTTTGCGTACTGTAATCTCAAACTGAGTGTCAAACCGCTCTTACAAGGACTGTCACAAAAGTTTGAATATTTGAATCTCAGAGACTGTAGATTGATCGAAGACGATGTTCACTTTCTATTGCATTGGAAACCAGTTGTGTATTTACGAGAACTGAATCTCAGTAACAACAACTTGACTTTTGTGGAGCACGTGTCAACAATGCTGGTGCAGAAGATGAAACTGTTGACATGTTTTGCAGTGTCCTACTGCTCGTTGAGTGTCGGCGCACTTCAGAGGATTGTGAAAAAAGCGCGACTTCACGGACAAATGAAAGTGTTGGCCATTCAAAACTTTACTCCAATGAGTGACGAAGACATGAGTAACATCTTGCTTGATTGCGCCATGCTCACGACTCTACAGAAATGCATCATGCTCCCAGAAACGTATGCCTTTCCTGGGAACAACGAGAATGAGAGGGAAGAAAACCTTGAACTCACGCTGGATTTCTGTTACGAGTTCCTTAGATCTCATAAGCGTGAAGATATTGCCATTGCCTGAGCCAATGTATGATCGATTTGACTGTGGAACCGATAATACCTTAATTTAAAACGGACGAATCATAAAGACATCAAACTTTGGATTGCAGGCTGGAATTCCATTTTTTAAGAAATGGAAGTAGTTCGTAGATATTGGCTTTGAGATGGAGTTCCTGCTTTTCTATAACCTTCATTTGAACAAGATCAATAGGGGCGAAGAGTTGCATGATACTCCATGGAATGCATTTTGGTCGCTCTGTCGACAGCTTTTCGCTGGTGCTCGATGTTATCTAATCTTATTCAAGTGGGCGTGGTATTCAGATATTTTCCTTTTTCACGTGGTCATCTTCATCTCAAGTCTCCATTTGCAATTTTAAGTGATGCCTTTTGCACCACTCATCGAGTTTAAGGCATACGTAAGTTAAACAGTATTTATCGAAAGAAAATTTTTCTTTGATGTTAAAATCGCCCTGTATAAAAAAGATTATTTACTCATCGTTTTTTCTTGCAGAATTTCATAGATAAATAGATAAATCCATTTAACACACAAACATTGGGCTTCTCTTTTTATTTGTAATAAATATTTTTACAAGATGTACACGCAGCTTAATTTTTGCTATTTCTTTTGATAGTGATACAAATTATACAATTATATTTACATTTTAGGATAAATGAGTATTATATTATATTATCCATATATACAAGGAAGGCAAAAAAATTCATTACAAGCGTAATGTGAAGCAATGACTATCATGTATATTATTACAATGTCTTAATGTAATCATATAATTCTTAAATATAAAATCAAGTGCAAGCCATGCATTGTGCCTGAGATTTCAAAACAAATGGTTACGCTGGTGAAAAGTTTAAAGACGAACCAGTCAGCACCAATACAAAATCCACTTACACCAATCAAAAATGAACACACACACTAAATGCAACGATACACATTACAACATTATGCAAAACAAACACACTCACCCAATTAACTTACATTCAAACAGCAACTACAGTAGAGGTGGTACAATCTTGGATTGAATAAGAAACCTACATAAAACCAAATCAGGTTGAACTCTCCACCTCAAATAATTTATCAAACTTTGTTTCATCTACAAAGGTTACAATCTCTCCACACTCAAAAGCAATGGCAAAATGTATATTCCAATAAATAATTGATTTCAATGAGACTGAATCTTAAATGATTACTTATGAAAGATAAATTAATGAACCTTGCACCAAAATATGGAGATCTTAAAATTATCATTGCCATATATGATACCTTTACAAAGTAGCATCTGCCTGATGTGAAAAAGAATATCATTTGCAAGACACCTGCACAATGTCTCATCACCACATTAATTGCCTTAAATCAATCTTTCTCATGGAGCCTGCCAAGGGCTGGTAAAGCTTCACAGTACTTAAATAGCAAGACCATCTCTTCCATTTCACCAGTAAGAGGACCACATTGTTCTCTCCAGTAAGAAATGCAGGTAGTCTGTAGTTAAAACTCTTATTATACACTGCAGAACTAAGTCAATGCCAAGTTCTTCCCACAGTCACTTCAATATCCAGCACTTCATATACAATACTGTAATCTTAAATAGTAACCTGATAACACTTTTATCAAGATATTTTCTAATGATATTGATCACTAGTTACTACAACACCATGATATCTAGGTCTTGCACCATGTACATTAGTTGTTTGTGTGACAATGTGATGTACTGAATCATTGTCTTATACAAGATTATTTAACTCGGCATCATTCAAGTAACAAGAAAAATAAACTACTAATGTTATTAAGATATATCTCACTTGTAAATGCAACAAGGTACATATTACTTGTGTACTACAATATATCTATCAGCAGCTACTGTAACAAGATATCTCAAACTAGTTACTAGTTACCAGTTAAAATACACTGAAACCCACCAACAATATCTGATAGCACATTATGCCCAACTTCGAAAAACATCACTTCTTCGCATGGGCATGTCCAGTGCATGGCGTGGTGTTGTTTCAACTAACCCAATGGTTTCTCAAAATGATTTCCATTTTGTAACCATCTTTCCATACCCATGATGTGAATTTTTGGCAACTATTAGTTCTCATACTGGAAGTAGTTTAATCCTTGACTTTGCAAACTAAAAAGTCTCTTCTCTACAGCCTCTTTATCTGCAAAACAGACAAACTGTATGTGTATGTATGTCATTTCTTGTTGTTTAAAAGATAAATAAGCACGTTTTTAGGTCTGAGAATATTTTCCTATGACTTAAATAAAATTTCTATCTATGAATTCCATATAAACATTACACTGAAAAAATTGATGTGCATTTTTTTTTTTTTTTTTGCCGTCTATGATTCTAACTTACATTTATTCAGCATGTCTTTGTCTTTGTTGTGTTGTGCCTGATGTGCCAAGGCATGTAGCAAGATCTGAGCATTCTTGTACATCCTGAAACACTGCAATAAAAACAAATTGCTACATTTTAAAGCAAATCAAGTATAAAGTTGTACTACAAAATTGTAGTCAGACCAAGCTATATCTACAGTTTTAGCGACACCTGAGTGATGCTCTCAAGTATTTCTGTTGTCATACAGATATGTTTTATTCTGATTTAACATATATTTAAAAAATGGCATTTTCTTGAACAAAACCAAAGCTGTTAAGTAGTTATTTTTTACCTCTTGTGGGTTTCCAAACAGTTCATCCAGAGCTGCAGTCTGACACTGAAATGAATATTATTTCCAACATTATTTCCCCAAGTGAAGAAAAACAGTTTCAGGTCTCTTTCATCAACAGCAAAACTGATGTAATAGGCATTAATTTTGATAAAGTAAAATACATCCTCGAGTAATTAATTTTAAATTTAAATATCAAATCGAATTTTCCAACTACTAAAAGAAACAATTGCTTACCATTTCTATTGCATAATTGTAGATGAGCTTGTCTGCAGTAGTAGAGAAGGATTTTAACTCATTATCATTGATATTACAGCTTTTTAACTGCTTGGAAATTCCCATGCACCTATGGTAATGGTTGTTCATTTCCTTAAGGACTAAAAACCACAAAAACCTTTCATTAGTTTTTTCACAGTAAGCTTTTCAAGTCAAATTTTAATTAAACCAAATATGAACTTAAATGAGAATTTTTAAACATACAGTTTTTCTAACAAAAACCTGTGTCAATATAATCTAATTCAATACACGATACCCAATACTTCACCAAGTTAATGTTCTTCATGTGCATTTTGAAAAGAAAAACTTACTGTTTTTCACTGTGTTTGAGGGCATGAGCTTCCCAGCCTTGATTTCCTCTTTAGCAAGTTGAAGAGAAGCAGACAGGAGTTGCAATGCCTTCACATGTAGCACAAGTTGTTCCATGCGCCTAATAAATACCGACATTTGAACAATGAATTTGTACAATGTAAGTAACCTTAATCAAGTGAGCCAATGTGAACACATACATTAAGCAAATGCTTCTCACATCTATATCATATATTTCTAGCATCTTTCATTCACTGATAGTTCAAGTTCTTAACATTCTAATAATGCATTTAAAACTGTAAGACTTGGTCAGTGAATGGGGAAAATGACATCTGGCTGTTTGTGATGCCTAACATTCATGCTAAAAACTGACACTTGTTAAGACCAACAGATGTAGATGAAATTGTCATAAGTTAAGCAATGTTTTATGAACTACTAAAAGAAAACAGAAATGATTTAAAAATCAAAACACAGCCAACAGTCTATTCTATGCAGAATTTTCTATAAAAGTCGACACTTTTTATTTAAGTGAAATATATATTGATGTGTACCTTTGACTTTCACTGAGAAACTTGACCTGCTCAGAGCCTCCATCTCTCCTTCCCTGTGGGCTAATAGACTGAGTCAGTGGTGTGCTTCTCTTCTGAGCCAGCTCAATAATGGTCTCCACCAGAGCCAATACAAATGTCAGCTTAGCAACAGTTTCATTATGCTCACTCTGAAAATAGTTTACAAGAGTTGCTTGAATTAATAACCCCACAACTCTAACGTGTGCACAATTTAAAACCTCATATCTTCTGGAATTACAATTTTCAGTATCTCATCATTCATTAATATGAAATTTACCAAATAACATTCATCACTGTTTGATTTAATCACAGCACATTTATATAGTATATTAATGGTGAAAAGACTTAAACCTTACACTAAAATTGGGAAAAAAAAAGAAAAAGAGAAAAAAAACTCACATCCATAAGAGTTTCTTCTGCCAACTCTGGTGCCTCAAACAGGATGGGTCCCTCCATATTAGGTGGGGACTGAGCATAGGGCAGGGAGTTTGGTGGTGATGACCCAGACCTCTCTCTTCCTGTAGAATCCTGTCTCTCCCTTGTAAAGGAGTCTCTTTTTTGGAAACTATCCCTCCGTTCTCGCTGGCCTGACTCTGACTGGTTTCTCTCCCTATATGGCACAACTGAATTTGCAGATGGGATCTGATTTGACAAACCTGTAACAAGTTGTAAAAAAACATTAAAGATCTTTTTTAAAATATTTTGGAAACCCTGAAACATATTTATGTCTTAATTTTGTAACATAATATAAAGATATAATATGAAAACATTTCATGCTATATTTATCACCTTCATATGTAATAAAAACTCTTACCTCTAGTGGTCTGTCCAAAGGCTGCTTTCATCAACTGCTCCCCAATCCTGGTAGGTGCTAGATGGCCTCCACTTGTGGTTCTCTGCAAATTAGATGGTTCTGTCTGGGAAGGTGCCAACCCAGTAGTGTCCAAACGTCTTGGCCAAGTAGCTGTAAACAAATAACCTACTGATTACTTAGCTACAGAAGATGCCATGCATTTCTTACTGTTAAATACTTAGAAGGAGTCAGGCTGAAACTTGCTGCCAATCTGCTGCTACTTTTCAGTGAAAAAGATGTACTGATATAAATCAAGGACAAATCAAGCTCGACTTCTAGCTATTGTGAGCAGGTTTTCAATTGTATTCAATTTACCACCATCTTCACATATAAACAATTATTTATTGTACTGAGAATGTTGGTTATAACAAGAACATGTTGTTACCAAAAGAAAAAAGCTCACCATATGGATCATAAGCTGCCCCTGCCACAGTGGTCATGGCCTGTACTCCCTCTGGTACTGTTCTAGTTCTGGCTAGTGCCACCACATCACGCCCCCCTGCAGGATAATTAGTGACAGTGAATCTCTGAGCTACACTCATTACAGATGGCTTAGGGAGAGAAGCTGGCCCACTGAATGGTGAACTGTTACTTTGAGCACCTGCAAACCAACACAATACAGCCACCTCACCATACAAAGTAAAATACTACACAAACTGAGAAAGAAACCAAGAAAATATTAGAACCAAAATATCTCTAATGCAAAAATTCACTTTGTATGCATCTAAACAAAACCAAAACAAAAATGCACAGCAGAACAGCATAATAACTGCAATACAGTTGGTCAACATATTTCCAATCAACTACCAAACTGTGAATAAAATCATTGTGTTTTGCATATACTTATCACCAATGAAAGTTTTTTCTAACATAAAACATAAACTCAATTCACACTAGTATGAGAGCTTGCCTGATTTTCTCAAAGGTGAACCATTTGGAGGTGTGGCAGTGTTGGGTCTTCCGGGAGAAACTTCAATGCTGTTTCTTCTTATGTTCTTTGATGGTGGAGTTCCAATGTGGAATTGGACTAAAAAATATATAACAAAGTACAATTTATCTTAATGTAGAACTAGAAAAGTAGAGCCACTCTTATTAAGATGACCAGCTAAAAAACATATTATAATGTTAAACTACAAGCATCTTGGTGTGATTACATTTTTGATGTAACAAGGTCAAACAAACAAACAAACAAACAAAAAAAAAAAGTATGCTAAAGCTTAAAAAAAAACCCTTAAAAAGTCTTAAAATCCAACTAACCTGATGGCGGTGATACTGATCTAATATCAGGAAAGGAGCCAACAGACACCATTCTATCTGAAGCAATTCTTGGAATCGGAACTGCCTGCGATGCTAGTTCTCTCTGCAGATCCAAATAAAATAGAGTTCATACTGTGGCATCAGATACATTTTATAAACATTAGGTTTAAAAAATTGAAATATACTGAATCAGCATTTTGTACAAACTGCAAAAAAACTGTGATCACAGTACACTTTAATTAAAAAATTTGAAATTTCTAATATGAAAACCCATGTTTAAGTTCTATTCTGGTCCAAGAATATACAGTGTACTAACATTTGCACCGTAAACTCTCATCCACAACTGATTTGCCACTTACCTGTGGTGACATTACATGGGTACCAGCCTCCTTGGTTCTGGGTTCCTTGGGGCTTGAAGGAGAATTCTTCTGAATTCTCTGATATGCTTCAACTTGGGTTGGCACTGGTATGGGCTGACTGGGAGGAGAGGTCTGCTTGATGACAGGAAGGGAAGTGGGCCGAGTGGGGCTGGTCTGGTCTTGTGGACTTGGGGATCCAGCATTGCCTTTCCTGAAGGATGCAGCCTCCGTTGTTGTATCCACCCTGACCACCCTCTGAGCTGATGGTTGGCTGCTAGTAACAGACATATAACAAGTCTGATTTTATTGTGTTCCTTTCAAATAATAGTCTGATATCACATGTGTGTGCATACAAATCATTGCTTTTGAAGAAATACAAGGTCAACTTAAAAGTGCCAAAATTGTTAATTACATTTTATATATCAAGCTAAAGTTTAACAAATACTGAAAAATATTTGGTTATATGAAATATTCATAAACAATCTCTATGCCTTAGATGTTCTCACCTATCTTTTCTTCCATGTTTTGGGGATTCTTTACTTCTACCAGAACTAGCACTGCCTTCTGATTCCCCACCTAAGTTGTTAGGGACAAGGACAAAGTCCTGCAAATATACCATGGGATCCACGTATAAGAAGAAGGAGAAAACAACAACAACAACAACAACAAATACAACAGTGCCAAACACTGTAATTAATAACATATTCAAATACTTTGAAGTAGAGTAATACTATTAACAAAACACAAAAACATGTTGTGAAATAAACAGTCACATTTGTCATTATCATAATCCTTCTGTTTAAACACATCTTTAATCTTTATAGTACATTAATCCCATTATGGCCATATGCTCTTTCTTTGAATATACTCTTTATAGATTAATATGGTTGGCTATTAATACTTCATATTCTTCATGATATACGAACATTCCACTTACTTCAGCTGGGCTCCCTGACTTTGAATCCACCTTAACAAAGTCTGCTCCTTCTTGTGGTGATTCGCTCACATCTTCCTGTTTCTGGACCCTCTGCACATCTGTGTTCTACAATAGACATTAAATAAATTGTAATCCCATTACAAGCTGTCATATTTATTTTAAAGACATTTTTACTTGATGTAACAAGAGAGACAATAACATCAAAGTAATTCACTCAAACTACTTGTATTTATAAATACTTAAATCGCCAAGCATTTCTTTACGTGCGTGTGTACGTGCATGTGTGTACTTACTACCGGAGAGTAAGGCACATTCCCTGAGAGAGGGGAAGATGACACAGTCTTCAGGGTTGGTGAGTCGGAAGGATGCCTAGCTCTCTGCTGTGGGACTGGGACTGGTGATGCTGCAGAGAAATAATGGCAATCACTTAAAAGCTTGAAATGTTACACTTTTTCTAAAATTTTACATTATCAAGGTTTACCACTTTCATACATTCAACATTTATATAATTCCTGACACAAAACTAGGTAACACTCATAATTTTTAAATCTTCCTTTTTCAAGTATTAAAGACAAAGCTATTTGGCAAATTTATTAATTTATGCTGTTTGGATTTATTTATACTTTATACTTATTAAGAGTAATGACCTTAGTCCTCTGAAGCAAATGTGATCTTAATCTGTGTAACATATTATGAATGTGTTAGAGACAATTATTATTTTGTACTATATCATTGAATGCTATAGTATACCATAATAATTTTTCTCGCCACCTCAATTCAGAATGTTTATTTAAAGTGGAAGTTGTCTCTAAATATTAGCTAAATCCTTTGCAATATTCTCACAACATCTCTATTCCAAAATGTTTGATAATGTGGAAATACAGCAAGACATTAAGAAGCTGAGATAAATATAATGCTACCCAGAACATTCAGTAATTTAACCAAATTTAGATACATTTGATGCAAGCAGGAAGTTGTAACTTATTATCCGATTTTGAAATCAGCAAGCTTCAGCAACCATAATGACCTCCTATGTTGATAATAGTCTACATGGATACTTACATGCTTTAGCAGGGCATACAAATGGATGACTAAAGAATTCATCTGTAAAAAAGAGATACAATTTCCATTCAAATGTACGTTACAAGCAAATGAAAACTGCTTTATATGCTTCTGAAAAACTTTTTTTTTCTGAAACAGCATGGTGTCATGTAGCCAATTGTGTTTGATACAATGCACATCGAATCAAACTTAATATTAAAGTAATAAAAACAGCAATAACCTAACCTAAATACCATGTAAACAACCTACCAAAATCTATTCTGTCCTTGGCATTTCTTTTCAACAATTTCATCAGCAGATCTCTCAGCTCTTTTGATGTCCCTGATGGAATACTGCAATATGTGCAGATGAAATAATATATACATGTCAAAAACTAGATAAGAAATGTACAGCCACTAAGGGTTATATATAATTTGTGCTCAATTCAATTACAGTACCTTAAATCACTGATGCCACACCAACAGTATAAAGATAAAAATATGAAATGTAAAATCAGTAAATATCATGGCAAAGAACTTAAATACATCTTTATATCCTATGCCTGAATAACAAGGCTGCATGTCAGTCAGCCATTACTATGCAGATTTCCATGCTGCCAAAGCTTAGCAGCCCTTTCATGCATCAATAACCACAGAAGTACCTTAATAACTGTGGCAGGTTACTTTTGCCAACACCACCCATTTTTATGGCTACCTAACAATCTGCATTGGCTGACCTTCAAATGTGCACAAATTTCTGACATGCTTTACCCCTTTTGGTATATTTATCATAGTATATCATCTGCACAAGTAAATGTATCAAAGGGGTACATGAAAAAGTTATAATAACAAAAAAAAATTGTTTAATCATGTCTGCACTTTACCAGCCATATTTGTGTCCAACTTTGTTATCTTTCCTATTAAATGATACATCTAAATTCAAAAGCAATTTTAATTTTCCTTTTTTCTTTATTAACATCAACTTACTTTGGGGCCAAGTTTGCATTCTTTTCATAGAAAGCTTTCAGTTGTTGTGGTGTCTGTGCCTGGAAGGGTGCCTTGCCAGTCAGGCACTGGAATACAATGGTCCCAATACTCCATAGGTCTGCCTTAGCATCATACTGTACAGACATGATCACTTCTGGAGCCTGCAATAAAACACATTCTTGAGCTCAAGTTGACAGTTTGTCAATAATCATGGTACATGATACTGAATACAGTAGGTATACTAGTTGTAATAACACTACTTTCACTTGCAGGAGGTTAAATCTTAAATATAAAACTTCAGTTCCACTAGGCTTACCATGTACATTGGTGATCCACAAAGAGTAGCAGCCATTACACCATCATTGAGAAAGCGAGCAAAACCAAAATCAGCTGAAAGAAAGGAAATTGTAAGACTATATTATGTCCATCTTAAAAGGCTTTCATCAATCAGTATATTTCATCAAAATAGCTGTTCATTGCAGCAAAAATTATTTGCAGATGTGATTTTGTATCACGCTCAAATTTTGTCTGATAAAAAAATAATCACACATCACTTCAAATTCTGAAGTATTTGTAAATCATGAGAAACATTAATGTGATTGAACAATTCCTAACTTTATTGATTTCCTTTATGAGGTCAGAATTGTGATGCAGAAGATGAGTCACTACACCAACACTTGCATCAAATTTATAAATTACATAACAAAAACATATTTTATAGCATTAAAAGGTATTCTGCGTTGTTGTCAGTAAAACAATATAAAAATTATTTTTATCAGTAAGCATGCCTTAAATTTCTGAATATATTTTTAGACTTTACCTTAAATACCACCTCATGCAGAATGAATTCAAGGATGATGAATCAATGTGTTACTTCAGCAGTAATACTACCATAAAACAAACAGCAGAACAAAGTGTCCATTCATTGATTTACAGGCTCAAAGTCTGTTATAAGCTCTGAACTCTCTTTTCTGAGACAATCAATACACTATCTGTAGCCTGGCTACTGTGGTATGTGTTCTTATAGAACCCACTTGGTAATAAGAGTATTACTGCTACACAAGTGAATGTACCATATAGATACTGCAGGATGATTCAACATCAACTTGAAATCCAGTTTTTTAATCCCGGTTTTCCTTTGAGTAACAAGATTTTATATGAAAGAATTGATAAAGACACTAGAAAAACATGGTATATCAAAAGCTCAGTTCAACACAATGTAAGAGTGCAAACCTATAAACACAAGGTCTTCCTGACCAGGTACACCTAAAAATTTTGTTATGTCTGATATATGTCCTTTACCAGAGGCCAGCTGGATGATTACATTTTCTTTTCTTTCTTTCTTTTTGTTTTTTGTATGTGGGGTGGTTGGTTGGGATTTCTCACTGGGCAGTACAGAAATAAACACAGAATAAGCCAGAGCAATATTTGTGAATAATGAAAAAAAGAAATATATGTGGCCTTGGTAGAGGGAAGATCTGACGGGCCTCTTAACATAATGACATATATCTGTATTGAGTGCCTATGAAGATTACTGGTACCTGGAAAACTACTGACCTACATATTAGCTCAGATATTGTATAAGCTAAGCAACTCAACATATTGAGCAGGAACATCAAGTTAGGTTCATTACCCATCAATCTAAAAACATACTGAATCATGCCACATTAAGGTTTGTGGTTTAGTGCGAGACATATCCCAGGAGCTTCCATCATTGTGTACTATTTGAAATACCATTCAAATGTGTCCTCTTTGTACCCTCTTGCTCATAAATTATCATTTTATCATTTTTGAAATCTTTGTAAAGGCTATGACAAATTGGGGTTGTTTGAGGTTAGTTCTAGAAGCAAAACTTGTTTTTCAATGTGTTGCGTGTTAAAATTACTTGTTTAAGACATTTTCTTCCAGCAGACTAAGCAGACTAATATTATAATCTGGTGATGAGATTAAAATTATTTAATAACATCCTTTATTTCTCTGCTTGCACAAAGGCTTATAATCAATAAGAAAATGAGAAATAAAACACTGCTAGTAACTTAAATACCCTATCTCAGTGGTAACAGAAAACAATTTTTAACTTTTTTTATTATTATTATTTAATGAGTTTACAGGGCTGGAGTATTTGTGCTAACTTTCTTCAAATAAATGTAAATTGTCCATTTTCATCTCATACAGATACTTAGCCCAAAGTATTCAAACTCTAAGGGGCCAAACATAAGATTTAAGCAAAAAATTTTTTTTTTCTACGTCCTTGATGATTTTCAAGGGCTTAACTAACAAATGATACTGAAATGAAATATGCATAATGACCATTTTGTCCTTTCTATAAGACCTGCTACTACAAATTACTATAAATACATACCTATCTTAAGTTGAAGATCAGATGGCTGTGGGTTTGGAGACTGTCCTGAGTGTGTCAGTAGGATATTTTGGGGCTTTAAATCTCTATGGACAATACCCTTGCCATTGAGAGCTCTCATAGCACCTGCAATCTGACGCAAGAATCCTGATATGGTGTCCTCACTAAGAGTGCCTTTGGCTGAAAAAAAAAAAATAAATAAAGCCAAACAGTAAAACTGTCTTCCACTTATCATGTTTACACTGAAAGTGCACGGCGCCGGCATCGGCGACGACAGACGCAGGTGATGGCAATATGTACAGACACATCTGTGTCTGTACATAAAAAAACACTCCAATCATACATGGTATCTACAACTGATTTTATCTGCTTCCAGAACAAAACAGAATAACTACTTGTTCATTTTTTTCTTTTCTTTTCTTTTTTTTTTTTTTTTTTTTGGAGTAAGGGGACGTTATTACAAGATTATGATTTATAGAGAAGTGAGAAGAAAGCCCACTTGTGATAAATGACTGAACAGAACTTTTTAACAGATAGAGAAACAAAAAGATTATGTGCAATATGACACATTGCTTGTCACATTGTGCTATAATTAGGTTATCAGTATCTGAAGGCCCATCATTTCTTCCTTTGTTGTACAGTATGCCTACCTTGAAGGTAATCTGCCAGATCTCCTCCATTGCAGTACTGAAAGTGATAGAAATGCAATGTAAAACACATGTGTAAACATGACTTCAGTTTCACTTAATCAAATGGTGTAAGACTATGTCTGGGATTGTTATTTTTAGAACAGGGACCATAAAAACCTTGTTAACTTGAAAAGAAAAACACATATACCTACATCTAAATATATCTTCACATCTTAAGGCAATAATTAAGTATCTGAACTAAAGCAGTTTATCTAGAGAAAAGGTGTGCTTCAATGTGGATCCTTTGTTCCTATATCGGGGTTTTATAGTTCTAGTAATTACTTAATATTAATTAGGCAGACAGAAATTGATCTTTTTCACATGCCATGAAGTACAATGTTGTACCACACCATACTATATGATAACATGGGGCAAACCAGAAAGTGATATATTCTTAGAGGTCATGAATTTCCAGTAATAGAATTTTCCATCATTCAGTGTGATACAACCACAATTTAACATTGCTGGAAAACATCTATAATGCCACTAAGAAGAACTCACCTCCATGACAAGATAAACATGATGTGTGGTTTCCTGAAAGATAATAAGTGGAAATGAGGTAGTTTGCATCTCAATATCTCTGTCCCATTGAAACACTGGTTAGAAAATATAAGAGCATTTCACAATGCACAAAAAAAAGAAAGAAAGAAAGAAACGATGACCAAATTTAACTACCTAAGAAACATTATCCTTTTAATAGATATAGTATATGCAGCTTTTATATGGTGAGACTTAACCTTTAAACTTTGTAAAACAAATAAATTTGTATGATTTAATTTCCTTTATTCAACTGATTTTAGAAAACTTACAACAAGGCAGTTAATTGATAATCTTGTATATATTTGAAATTCAATATCACATTTAAAATCAGCTAAGATTTTAATTTCAACTATTAACACACAGACATATAAAGACATTCGTACTTCATTATTCATCAGACACTGGTTACTTTCTTTGTCCCATTCTGTTAGGTGATAATGTCTATTGCATGACCTCCATATAACATACTGATCTATAGCACTGTAGATTTACTTGAAAGCAAACATTTAATCAATCAGTTTGAATGGAGAGATCCTTATTGAATTAACCCACATGACAGGCAAAAAGCATGCCACCAGCATGCACACTCTATACTGCAGAGCGCTATCTAGCCATGCAGATCCAACCTGGAAATCATCCAACTTTCACATAGGTCAGGTGAGAGATCTGGCACAATTCAGTTCAATCCAATATCACTTAGGTTATATATATTTTCCCATAAAATACACAAGGACTGTTTATCATCAAAAGATTTTTAGATTCCGATTGAGGTTCAACAAACTAGTTTTTTAACCTTTTCTCACACTTAATAGCATACAATAGTCCAACGAGGTCACTGCACTTGCATGCATTCCACATCTGGTGTCAACCAATCAGCTGCAAAGTTCAGCAAAATATCACGTGATGTAAACAAAAAAAGCTGGCCAACAAATAGGGCACCCAAATAGACATGACGCACTTCTCTGAACTACGCAATCCCACTGCAATGGCTTTAATTTTCTTAACAAAGGATAACAATAACCTTCTTAGATTTACTGGTATTTCATCAGCTTTGGCTCAAGGTGGGTTGATCACACTCACTGACGTCACAATAGATTGTCATCAATTATGGGATTTGAGTGTAAATCACCGTAAAAATATCCTGTTTCTACAAAGTGGGAAGCCAATTTATGGCTCAACATCCATCATAAATGTGATAATCATTCAATGTTATTCTAAAATTACTAAGGTTTAACAAATGAAGTTTTAATGAAACTTTCTTTTAAGCATGGAAATAAAAAGCTACTAGTACTAAATTGAATAAACACAGCTTTAATCCTAGTGACAAAATATTTCGTATGAATATGCCAGTAGAACTTTTTATTTATGTTGCTTTTGATACTGCTTATATACTTTTGTACTGAAAGAAGGAAAACTTCAGTGGAAGATAAGAGATATTTAGAAAAGGCAGATATATTGTAATCCTCCTATCTCATATCTGACACTGTACTTAGGACAATCAACAACTCAAATAGTCCACCTCACTGTGATTGAGCTAAAAATAGATCAAGCATCACAAAATCACAATTTTAGACCTTATTAATACAGGTAGTCAACAACCATGACATTTTATTTGCAAAGTGTGTGGCAAACTTCCAGATACTTTAACCAAGCCAAGCCCTTTGGGTTAAAACTGGTCCAGAAGGACACAAGATATCACAAAAACAGGATGAAGAAAAAAGTTATTACTATCTTGACCAATAATTATACATGACCCATTTTAGCAAAGGTGCTAATCACAGAAAAAATCACACCTTTAGTTCTTATCCTTTATTAAGAGTCCTATCAAAAGTAATGGGTGAAGCTTTGGGACCATTCACATGGAAAGTCTATTTTCTAAAAATCTATTTTCTATTCGCGGTATCTTGTGATCACGGTCTGTGCCCTGAATATCCCGCGGCGTAATTACTGGCAGCGTGAGCCAGTTATTCCCTGCACTGCCAGTAATTTCGCTGTGGGATATTCAGGGCACAGACCGTGATCACAAGATAACGCGAATAGAAAATAGATTTTTAGAAAATACTTTCCATGTGAATGGTCCCTTAGTGTAATAATGCTAATAATAAGTGTTGATCAATGCATCTGTATGATTCTCAAGAGTATTTAAGAGTTGTCATGTGCAACATAATTTTGAGACTATTCAAGCAAAGGACATAACAACTGTATTTTTCAGTGTAAACTTAGTTGTGACTGATAAGCTTTGTCGAGTTTCATAATTTACAACCCCCCCCTCTTTATGAACTTTGTTCTACTTAACAAAGCATGATAGGTTGGCATGAAGGATATTAAAGCTGGCGATTGTCCATGGTGATAACAGGCTTGCAGGTAGCATGAAATTCACGTGTTAACACTCTATTGATGATATTGATATTAACACTGTGTTAACTTAATGCACTGGCACAGCTAGTATATTTCAGAAACATTAATTAACAGGAGTGCAAACAAATGGATATCTTTATTTTTCAAAAAAATTTATTTTTTAACTTTACCTTGCAGTCCAATAAGGCCACTACATTTTCATGGTGCAGATCTGACAGCTCCTACAAAATACAAAAGTAAGAAATAGTATTTGCTTTCAATAAAAACTTTACAATTTCACATATTAAATACGAATGAAAATGGCCTCTTGCTGTCTAATAATACATACATACATGCATATGACAAATGTTCTTGTGAGTATATTTCTATTAAAGGCCTTTTGTTAACAAATACTGGTTATAAAAACTAACCTTTAATATCTTGATCTCTTTGCTGAGGAGATTCTGTGATTTTGCTAGGTTCTTCTTGGTGATGCTCTTAATGGCAACTGGGTCATGTGTCTGGAATTTATTAAGTTGGGTACATGGAAGTGATATACAGTTTTAATGAGCCTATATTTATTAGCTGCCAAACTATTAAAACATAGTTCATAAAATTAGCTGCCAAGCCATAACATAGAAACACAAATATATTTCAATAGCCAGGTTTATTTCATGTTGTTTATTGAAAATTCTTTTGTACGTGATGTTTCGTAGCGCATTCATGGGTGGACGTGTCTGGGCTGACATTGCTGCAGAATAGTGAGTGACTGTGCAGAATCGATTTTCTGACGTATTTTACTTACCACTTTGTGACGCCCTTTAAAAACCACTGCAAAAGCGCCATGGCCGATGAGGTCTCGCTTGTTGTACTCAAAATCACCTATGCTCTCCATTTTCACTTTAGGACGGTGATGGCCCCTCCAAATATTCTATCGCAACATCGGAAAATTATGGTGAAATACAGACGTCAAAATGACATCAAAAATCTCCCAAACTGAGGGGTTGTCGTTTAAACCAAAGTCCTCGTTTCCATTCTGCTTCACGAACAGGTATTTATGACAATTATTCCATACTGTTTGTTAGTGATTTTTAAACCAACGTTTCAATTGAAAAATAGTAGTATTAACTGCCTTCTGCTACTATGTCACACTTGGTTATATGATCGTTTTGTTTTGGTTCAGGATTGTTCACACAGCACTCCGCAGCACCTGCAAAAAGTAGTTCTCCATGGGGAATTGCTATTTTGTACTCTTTCATACAAGATGATCAAATAACGTAGTATATGCGGGATAATCGGTTAAAAATCTATAAAATTATAACTTATTGCGGAACGATGCAAAACAAAAATTATATTAATCAGCTGATTTCTTTGTTTGGATGTTAAATCCTTTCGCCACGAATGATCAAACTTCGCGAGAAATTACGCGATTTCTTACAGCGAGGTGGTGAAAACACGTGGTGGTGCAATAGGGAAAATATTTTGCGACTGAAGTGGTTATTTCCTTTGAGCAAGACAGTTATCCCGAAGGGCACATATTACGTTTGAAATATAAGAATTGCTGTTAATTGTCATTATAAAAAGCATTGGTAAGTTCTAGTAGTATGATGCGCCATGCTAAGTAAATGAATGTCTGCATGCAACATATTTGTTTTCATTGATGCAGTAATTCTAAATGCAGTATTTCCACCATAACGTTACACTTAATTTTAATTGTATGTTGCCATTTGGTTTAAACGTAACAGTGTATTTGAGTATACTAATGGTTAGGTGTTTTACTGGTTATAGTTCGTAAAAGAAAAACATAACCCTATGTTAAAAATATAATATTTTTCAGGTCAGTACGCCATCTCCTGACAAGTGAATGCTAACAGTGTGAAAAATGGAACTGAAAGGTATTGTGACAGTAGCAGTTCCAGCAATGGCTACAGTGCTAGTGGTAGGCTTACTTTGGTATACATCTAGAAAGAAACATAAAGATGAAGAGAACAAGGACAAAGAGGAAGTGGGACAGGTTTCTGTACCAAAAAAAGTCTGTCCGGAAGAAAAAGATGAGAATGATCTGAAGATAGATACAAAAATTGATGCCCATGAAGAGAGTAATATGGTGGAAGAAAACAGCAGTGTGTGCTTGCCTCTGAAAGTTAGTCTCTCTCCAAACAGTAACTTGGAAACGTCTGCAGTTTGTCAGTCAAGTCCGACACTACCAGTGTCTGGAGAACCAGAGAATGAATTTGATACTCCTGAAGTAGCTACATGTAATTCTATTTCTGAAAGTGTTTTGACGAAAGGTGGCTCTCCAGTGCCTGTGAATGAAGAAGTCCACTCTCAGACCATGGAGAGTGCCCTGGAAAGGTCTCCATCTAAATCCATCAAACTGAGGCACAATGAGTTGGGCTGTGACACAGTAGATGGTGGGATGTCTGGTGTAAATGGTGAGGCAAGCAGTCATGAATCTGGGCATAGCGAACATTCAGACACAAGTGGATGTGTGGGTGCCTCATCTGAAGTTCAAATCAGAGAAGAAGAGTTTGACAGCAGTGCTAATGGAGGTGGCATGAATGGGTTGAATGCAAATAATCAAATTGAGAAAGACTCCCACACAAGCAATGGGGTGATGTCATCAGGTGTAGGCAACTCTTGTGACTTAGTGGAAGGTCATTTGACCAATGGGCAGTTGGCGTCTGGAGACAAAACCTGTGTTGAAGAAAAGGCACCAGAACATAATGTCACTGGACATGGAGATGGGAATACTCACATTAACACAGAGGTGCTTAGGTTGCATATTATTTTTCACATTTAACTACTTATTAGGTAGCATTTGGTCATTTCCTAAACAGAATATTGTTTAAATAAAAAGAAGACAGGGTATTACTGATTGGAGAATTTATGTTGCACTTTATTTTCAGAGGAATGGTGATAGCAGAAAAGATAACAGTCCAAGAGAAAATAAAAAGCATGACCCTCATGACATAATTCGCTATGAATTTGAATTCCCCTCGGAACTCTGTGGTCGCCTGATTGGAAAACATGGCAGCACCATAACTGCAATCAAAACAAAATCAGACACTGAGATATCTTTAAGTCGTCAGTCCTACAATGAAACTTTTCAGATTTGTGCAATAGAAGGTAAATATGGCCGAATTATTATTTTGATATGGTAGTCTTATATGTATAGTACTATTAATTTGTATTTTGGTGTTTTGTACTATTTCTTTGCTTTTTTAGCATATTAAAAGGTACTTATGAAGCAAGCATCGGTGGAGCGTGGATTCTTAGTAACACATAAACCACTTCTACTAATTTCTTCTACGACTGAAATATATTCGACATGCCAAGGGATAAACTGAATAGATCACTTGATCAGCCATAAAAGAGCTTTAGACTGCTCCTTTCTTTAAATTTTTGGTCGTAAATTTAACCTACTTTTGTGACCTACTTTTCTGCCCCATTGACACACAGCATAGAATGCTAGCAGAAAAATCCATTCAAGCATCATTTTCGGGTAAAATTAAACAATGTCTTTTGGTAATTCTCTTAGTTATACTACTTGAAACTAAATGCTGGCATTTTGTTGGTTTTTGTGACAAAAAATTGACTTTGTATGCATCTTTAAGTTCATCATGACTTTATATTACAGGTACCAAAGACAATGTAGATTATGCACTGAAACTGATTCGGAGAAAATTTCCCAAAAATCAGTTTCCAAATGTTGATCTGCGGCAGTTATCCACACATGTCCAAGAAGCTAGTCCAGTCTTAGCACCAGAAATGATGCAGGTACATACTTAATTGATGCTGTTTTTCTTTCAGATGAATTGTTGTTTTTAAAATTAAGTCTCATGCATCATGCTTATGGCTAGGGTGTGGAGTTATGACAGTTTATTTGGCAGTTAGGTGCTCTGTTAATGCAGTATTGTCATTGATACGTGAAGTTTTACATCTCACACTCATAATTTGCATATCTTGGGAATATTGATATATAATCAATTTACTTTGTAAGGTGCATAAATAGACCTTGTTTGAGGAATTTGAAGAAACTGAATGTCATACACTGGTGGGCTTTCAACTTCATCATTTCACAATTTTTTTCAGTTTTATATCTTCTGTTTGTTTTCAGTTGACCCTGCCAGAAGGGGTGATGGTAGATGTCATAGTTTCAAGTATCGTAAATGCCAGTCACATTTTTGTCCAGCAACCTACCCACCCCACTTATCCTTCCTTGGAAAGATTAAACCAGTTCATGATCATGTGCTATCAGCATGATGGAATTGTTCCTCAACTACCTAGGCCTATAGAAGGTTTGTACATTTTCACGTTGTTGATGTATATAACATTTCAACAAATTTCAAATAGGATTCTGGTGTAACAAAGGCATTTAAGTATATACTTTCTGAAGACTAAACACATTTTAACCAGGGAGGCATGGCATTTACACCCTTTGTCAACGTTGTTGAGATAGTCTTGTAATCAAAGCCCTTTGATGAAGGGATGGAACATGCATCATAGGTAAAGTCACTCAAGACTTATAAGAAAAAAAACTAATTCTTTTTTTTAACATATTCAAAATTTCTAAAGGTATGTCTAAGAGTGCATTCCCAGAGATTTAGATCGATCCAGAGATTGAGATTTAGATTGACCTAACTCCATGGGGGTTCACGCTAAATTGCAGTCAGCCGAGAGCGCACCATAGTTAATTACCCCCTTACAGCTTTTAGTAGGCGGGACAGACGCTTAAGCCGGCTAAGCTGACAGTAATCTAGTGAGACTCCCCACAGGGATAGATCGATCTAAAATCTATGGGAATGGTGTCTTAAGTTTGAAATAAATTTAGTAAGAGTGAAGCCTATGAAAAACAAACTATTCCAAATGGTGCATATTGTTCATGACATTTCTGACAGATATAGTGATACAGTGATGTCATCTGGTCAAGGATCCAGGAAAAATATCTGGTTGAAGCATTAATTACATATCAAACTGTATTTAAATTCAACACAAACCAATATGGTGATATAGTGATCCATGAAAGTTAATGTTTTCTTTTCTATACTTGATAGTCAAGATGTCCCTTGTAAAATTGTTGAAAATTTTCATTTGATTTGTTTGCAGTTGGTGTTATCTGTGCTGCTCCAATGATGGATGGTTGGTATAGGGCTCAGGTGGTCAGTGTTCAGGATGAGACCGATGAGTGTGATATCAAGTATGTGGACTATGGAGGATATGCCAGGATACAGGCGTGTGCATTGAAGCAGATCAGGTAGCCATTATACAGCATGCCTCTGCCTTATTTCTGGAAGGTCCATTTTTTCTTTTTTCCTACAAATGTAACAAATTAATGACACGACTAAGGGGACAGAACATGGGAATTTCAAACAATCAAAATGTGATTGTTATTGATTTATCATTTTATGTTCTTAGGAGTGACTTCATGACTTTACCATTTCAAGCCTGTGAAGCATATTTAGCTAATATAACACCATTGGAAGGTATGTACTGGTGACCCTGTTTGTTTAGTTGTATTAGTTAAAGGCAGCATAAGATTAGGATTAGTTTGTAATTTATTGTTAAACTAGTCGACTTGTGCTGAGGCAGCTCTATTCTCATTATTAGTAAATTGATTAATTAATTGATGACCATCTATTTGATTCTAAGTCAGCCCATTTCTGACATATCCTTGTAATTTTATCAAAATACGCCCATGACCTTTTGAGTTGGTCTGTTAATAAACAAACCCATTTAGGCAAAAACGTAATCTTGGCAGAGATAATTGGAAAGTTACTTGTGAGAAAATTGTTCCTGCTTGCATAAAGTACTCTAAAAAGTACAAGTAAAATATTACTGATGACAGTAATTTTTCATTTTGATTGATATGATAGAGAAAGATATGCAATTTATAATGAAAATTATTCTTTTCACACATTTCTAATTGGAAGTTTTATCTTCTGTTAAGGCGAGGAGAGTTACTCCCTGGAAGCTAGTGCTGTGCTAGAAGAGGTGTCACAGGGACGTATGTTGCAGCTCCAGACTCTCTCAGCAGCAGCAGATGGCATACCATATGTGCAATTGTACACGCAAGGTGCACAAGGAACATTGGTAAGCTCATAAAGTTAAAAAAAAACGTCAAAATGTGAATTGTTTATTTCATTTGTATCATTTGAAAAAGAATTCGAATGGATTTTCAAATATTGGGCACCTTGGAAAATTTTGACTTAAATAAGTTGGTATTCTGATTCCTGATGAAATGCTCTTTAGCTTCCTCTTAATGGTGTTAGGGTAGGTGGGAGGGGGGGGACCTTTTTCATAATTTTCTTTAAAATACTAATCTTTAAAAGTGCTGGCTAACAATACAAAGCTTATAGTTTTCTTCTATAAATCCCTAGCATGAAAGTATAACTGTCTTTTGTACTTTCTGTGTTTTTGGTTATTTCTGTCATTTAGTTAAAGGCTTTAATTATAATTATTATTATTGCTTTCCACATGCCATAATTTGCATGGCCTTCTTTGCCTTTTCTCATAGTTGTACTTTACTCCTTAGTTTACAGCACAAAATGGAGAACCAGTATGGCCTCCACAATCTGAAGTGAGTAAAAATGTATTTTATCTTACTCGAGGTGCTGGAAGGTTTGAATTCACTAAGTTGCCTATATTGCTGGTGCAGTCTCTGTTGCATTGATTTTCTTTTGCAAAGGTTTGCATATAGCTGGACAACTGAAACATCAGTTACCATGGTAGTTCATGTTTTTGTTTCAGGTAGCAAATGTTATTTTCACATTTAACAGGCAGTGTAAATGACAGAAAATTATTTGTGTACTTGAAGTTCTTTTATCCATACATTCCATATTTACTATTTTCATTTTAAATTGCAAATATATATATATATATATATATATATATATATATATATATATATATTGCACATGTCAGTTGATCATCTGCCAGATTGCCTTGTAGATATTCATTTCTGTCAGCTGCCAGTTCACTTGTCCAGTTTTCTTAAGCAAATTTGTATTAATATCTTCCCAGTGAACAAAAAAAAAAAAAAAAAAAAAAAGTAAAATAAATAATGTGAATAAATGTGCTTCTTGCCTGCAATATTTCCTTTTCTAATAATTTGACTGGGTTTTGTATCTGATTATTATTTTGGTCTCATTTGTTTTATGAGTGTTGCTTGTGGTGTGGATTGTGTTTTCACAAATAAAATTGTGATATTTAAGGCAAAGTTTGTATGGTGTTCATTTTCCTTTCATTATTTCCAGCCTATCCTAATAAACCGTGACCTTGTGGATCGAGGAGTAGTACGATGGGTTGAAAACCAAGAAAATGCCCAACTTGCTGTGAGGGACTAATATGAAGAGGTGGAGTTGGAATACACTTTGTCAACACTGTCTCAAACACACTGTAAAGGTTTTGTGTGGACTTCAGACAGATTGAGTTATGACATTAACATGAAAAATGGGAATTTTACCTAAAAAGTGTGTTGTTTATTAATCCTTTCAGATATCTCTGTGAGCTTGGATTTAAAATGTTGGGATTGTTGCAGTGCTAGATGCAGTGGCATGAATGTTGAAGATAGATTATAGTTGTAGTTACAAGGACATGGCATGTATCATTGTGTTTATATCTTATGAAATGGTGGGGGCACAGTGTACATATCTTTGTATGTTTCTTTTTGTTTTTGTTAATAGCGTCCGAGACGTACTACTGCCACAATATGAAAAAAAATCCTATAGACATAATACGGAGGTTTACAGAATTGCCTGCAATTTGTTGATCCTAGTTGATGCTGCCAAGTTGTTTACAAATCTCAATATTTGAACATAATAATTGATGAAAATTTCAGTTTGCTACCACAGGCAATTTTAAGCAAGCATGGTCCTTCATAGTTACTTTAATACAGCAGATACTACTTATGACATTGTTATCACACAGAAATCATTTTCTCAGTACCATGCATTGTAATGTTATAAAACCCTTGTTGCCAAAAGTTATATAGTGTTACTGTACTATATTAATCTGCATTTAAATTGATCTGTTGCTGTTGTGTTTGTCAATCTATATATATATATGTACTTTGCTTCCTTTTAAGAAATCTCGCTCTCATATGTTTTTCTTACCCTGTAGTGTTCAGCTGTTAATGGTCTTTTGCTATATTCTGTGTATTCCTATGCAATGCATTTGTTTTGGACTTAAGTTTTCAGTGCCAATAGACACCATTTGTTTAGATTGCCATACTCCTAATTACCGTATTAAAAACTCGCTGTCTCCACACACTTGTTAAATGGTCTTGGGGGAATGTGGACCTCCATATTAATTTGCAGTCACATGGTAGCCCACCACAACGATTTTATACTTAGTTTCTTGGAAAGTTGCATGCCACAATACTTGGCATAATAATATCGTTTGGGATTATGTGTGAAATAATAATCAGCAGGAAGTTACAGGTTTTTTATATCTTATGTTAAAAGGGGAAAAATGGAAAGAAACTTGTAAAATATTCTTTAAAGAATTGCCAGAATTGAGTGAATATGACAAAATTGCCTGTTTAAAAAGATTTACATAATTTTTTCTCCAAATTTTGGTATTTTTAATTGTGATGTGAAGAAAAAAGGGTGCTTACTTGTGACTTTTGCAGGACTTCCAAGTAGTTTCCAAAGAATAATTTATCTAGTACAGCATTTTTGGCAAAAAGAGAATAACACTGAACAAGTAAAGAATTGTTTTAAGAGGTTTCAGTTACTGAAAAAAAAGCGAATGAAGTCTACATTTAAAATATGTAGTAATATTTCAGTTTTGTTGTGTAGTTTAAATTAAGCTTGGTTATTATATAATTTTTTTAGAATCTTGAAATATTTCTCTAGTTTTTGTGAATACGTACTGGATTACTTTTATGTAGTAACCTTGTGTATGGAAATAAAATTTGAATAGAATTATCTTAAGAAAACTTGTTTTATATTTAACTTGAAAAGCCCTCAGAGTGCAAACCTTCATCAAGGACTTTACCTGTAAGAAATTGTAGACATTTTCGAGAAGGATGTCAATATATAAAAACTACAAAATTGCTTTCAATCCAATGCAGCAAGTGATACATTGCATGTATGATGTAAAAAGGTAATTATTACAACTCGCGTAGCTTTAATGTAAAATGTCTTCATGCGTGATGGTTGATGCAATTTGCCTAACTTTGAGGCAGTAAACTGCATGTGATGTGATGATGCAATAGGTCAGGTCGCAATTTACAAGTAACCTCTGACATGTACCATTAAAATAAACCAATACATAATTATTACTGTTTGTGTAGCTTCGATGCAGCAAGTTTGTTAGTGGTATTCTGTATAACCACCAAAAATCTACGTAATCATTTCTTCCTTGGGCCATTAATGACCTACCCTGAAAATTTTATCAAAATCCATCCATGACGTTTTGCATAATGCTTCAAAAAAAAAAAAAAAAAAACTGAACCAAAGACATATTAACTTCCTTGTTGGAAATAATTATGCATGTTGTGAAGATATTAGATATACTGCGGTCTTATATGTTGCTTGGTCTTTTTCTGAAGCAGAAGTGTGTTAGTGACAGCTAAATGCCAGGTTTAAGAAGTTGTTTCTAATTGGCTGTCATTATAATATCAATATTTAATGAAAAGGTAAAGATTTGTTAAATAACAAGTTAGCCATAATTCTAGTGAAAGGCAATTGAGACTAGACAAGACAGTTTTATATTTTATTACAATTTTCTTCTTTTGCTCTTACATTGTACACCTGCACTATCTGTGTATGAATGGAATTCTGGAGAAAAATATTAACCAAAGATATTGCCATATACATTATGTAAAATAAGAAATTAGTCAAAATTCTGAAAAGATACACAAATGCGTAAGTTTAAAGGGGTTTAAAAGACATGTCAGACCTACATCTGTAATAAGATTCAATATACCTGGCCTCTTTAATGTGCTACAAAATAAGCACAATACAGCAGTGGGATTTGTGGGACTGATTTTGCAGAAAGGTCATCCCATATTCAAATGCAATTTAATTGTATACTGAGCAGTTTTAAAATGCACCCTAACTAGACAAAATTAGGGAAATTGCACAGATTATATTACTTAAAAATATTAAAGCAATGACAATATTTACCGGGACAATAATTACAATCGCTACTCGCTAGTATAAATAAAACACTAGACTAGAATAGACTAGAGATTCTATTGAGAGAATTTATAGATGGAAAAGGTTTGGAGGTTACTTGAACCACTAGATTAACTTGACAACATTTTTGCACATTTGATGCAATTTTCAACTAAATTTATCTTCTGGATTAATACTGCCCTTAAATTCATCTAAGGAAAGTTGCAATCAGCAGCATTTTAGTCTGTAATGTTGATGCTTGCAAGCAAAAGCTGCAAGGGAGCCTTCTGAACTATACTTCAACAAACAAGATGTGCAGCTTTCTATAAACTCAAGTTTTGAGAAAAAACCCAACTTGAACTGTTGATCAAGCTGGTTTTCCATTGAACACACATAGCAGAAAACCCTGTTTTACAGCGACATACTCAATTCATTAATTCTGTCAAAAAATTGCACACTTCTACTTCTGCAGATTACGAAATAAAGAATGCACACATTTGTTGGGTATAAATGAAATAAATAATGGCAGTATGAGAATCCAAACTTGGAGGGGTGGCAGCATTTGAAAAATGATCACTTTTATATTACAAGAGATATGACAAATGACAGAAAAGGAGGATCCCAAATTGGTTCGTTGGAAAATAATGCTGCTTACCCCTTGAAAATTCAGTAAGCAGGAGTTTTTCACGGGGAAAATCCTGCACTGTCCACAGAGAGTAAGCTATACTCTAACCACAGGGTCCGCATGTACTCTGCTACAAAATTATTGTATCTGACCCTGTGAGATTTGACATGATCAAGGGAACCTGTTCCTTGTCAGACATATCCTTTGTGTTTTTCAGTAAGGGTGATTTCACACCTACCAGTAGGTGCTGAGAAGCATAATGCATGTCTAGCATGGCTTCAGACCTACTCCATATGCCAAGCTGAGCGAAAATATCCAACCCAACAATCACCCTCCTCTGCTACTGAGCTACCGTTCAAGGGGCAGGTACGGGCAGAGAAGTTTGGGCCCAGAAGTTTCGTAAGAGCAGACAAGCTGATTGGGTGTATACCTTCCCACAAGGGCCTATACCTTAATTTTGTACACTATTTAAGAAGCTTCTGATAGCAGAGGGTAAGAATAAGCTAGGTTTAAACTATACTGTAGGAATAGTAAGGACTTGGATGCAAATAATGTTGTGAGATGACTGAGGAGCATCTAACACTTTTATAACTCATCATGGACATCTTCAATGATAATTTTTGGTTTTCTTGGTTTTTCAGGTTGGTTTTCCTTGGCTATATCCTTTTCTTTCAACCACTGGTTATATACTTTATATGGATCTACCATCCAATGTTTATGGAAAGAAATAGGTTCTTCCTGGTGACCAAGATAATCCCCAGCATAGTCATCTGGTCTGGCCTGGAATAAAAAAGAAACAAAACAATTGCAAAATAAGAAGTTCACTTAATTACGTAGAGGTTTACAGGCCCGTAGCCAGTAATTTCAAAAGGGGGGGGGTTCGTTTTCTAAAAAAATGGACCTTTTTCCATAAAAACATCATGTTCCCAGATCAAATTTTACCCTGAGTGGACCTTTTCCCAGCAAAAGGGGCAGTTCTTTCGAACCCCCCCGAACCTCCCCTGGCTACGGGTCTGGTTTTGTGGCAAATAATACACTCAATAACTCTACTGAGTTTAATGAATGTTTAAATTTTTAAACTCACAAATAATACAAGGCAGCAAAGCTGTCAAATGTACAGAAAAAAAAACAGAAAATAAAGATGCAAAATAGGTCATTTTGTCAATTTTGATGCGATAATAAATAATGCTTATAATAGCACTGTTAGTCAACACTGAATTTTAATCATGCACAACAGGTAACATGGTCAATAACAGGAGCAGACCCAGAGATATTTTCTGACAGTATTCCAAAGTATCTATGTTGATCCATCCTCCATTTTGATGGTCTTCCAACAGAAAAAAAATAGATATCGGTCAATATAAACTTAAAAACCTGACTGTCTTCTGGAAGACCCAGAAGATGGTCTCAATCCATCCCTTCAATAAGATTACAGTTTCAGGACCATGAGAGTTCAAATTCACATGATGAAAGTCCCAATATTTGAAAAATGATGACAGTGCATAAAATAATATTACATAATGTTTAAAGACATAAAAACCAATACAACTGCTTATGTGGAAATACAGAAAATGTGCAGAGCCTCAGGCAGATGGGAGTTAAAAGTCACAAATGCCAGTGTTTGAGAAAAAAATTAAAAAGGAAAACAACAAAACTAGAAAAGCACTCTGAGAGCGCAGACCTCTGCCAAGACAGCAATTTTTGATTATTATTGATTATTGATAGATTATTGATCCAAACCACCACCAAAAACTGATCATTGTCCTCCTTGACCCACTTCCGACAGTTCCTGAAAATTTCATCAAAATTGGTCCATAACTTTTTGAGTTATGTTGATGACAGACAAACAGGCGTGAAAACATAACCTCCTTGGCAGAGGTAAATATAATTCCAATGAAGCTGCTTTTCAAACTTTTAATCTTTGAGTTTGATATATATATAACTTATTTGCAATATTAAACAAAATTTACCTGCATAATTATCACTGCTTCCTTATTATTAATCTAGCAGAGAGCTTAACCTTTGGGAGTTTACAAGGAAATATCAACAAGTGTGCTTTATGTAATCTCATTTAATGGCCTATTAATTAGCCAAATGACTTTATAACTCTGAAATTAGCCTAGTGATACCCAAGGGAAATTTACAGACTGACCCTCTCAAAGGTCTTCAGGCCCATAAGTCACACCTTATGAAAAGCACAAAACAATAATGCACAAAATAGGAGACTGCCAATTCTGATGCAATAGTACATCATGTTTAACTGCACAGTCAATATCAAATTTTAATTATGCACAACAGGTAACACCGACGAAAGGAAAAGCATAAGGCTTCAGGCCCATCAAGTTCAAGTTCAAGTTTTTACTTAGAAAGTGCCAGAATGAGAAAAATGAAAATTTCACAAAAAATGCATAAATTTAATAAAAATGATAATCTAATAATGCTGGTTTTCTAATATGAGCTGTATGTCAATCCTAAGAATCATTCTTGTAAGACTAGTTGAAAAAATAGAAAGTAACAGTTTTCTTTCCATAACGTTAATGGTGGCAGTGCACAAAGTAGTTTTTTTGTCAATTTTGATGCAACATTACATAATGATAAACTGTATAAATACCACCAATTTTTAAATATCTACTATTAAAAACACATGGACATTAAGAAAATTTGATTACCACTGGGCTTCATGCCCAAGGGAGCTCTAAGTCCCACATTGAAAATTCCAGTATGTGAAAGATAAAAATTTTCACAAAAAAAACTATAACTTCCAGAAAATTAACTAATGAGACAGATTTTCCAAATGAGGCTGTATTTCAGTCCTATGTTTCTTTCCTTTAAGTGTGAAAAGAGCAAGTGACATGGTTTTCCTTTCGCGGTCACTACGGAGGAAGTGCCCAAAATAGGGTTTTGTTCAATTTTGATGCAATATTACACAATGCTTAACAGCAAAATAACCATCAGTTTTTTAATGATGAAATAAAACTATCATGGATATTCAGAAAATGTGTCTAGCCCATAGAGTTCAGAGTCACACTTTGAAAATCCCAAAATCTAAACAAGAGAAAACTGTATTGAAAAGAGTTCATTTCCATTTTCAACACCTTTTTTACATAAAACATAATAATCGATTTACTGTAATTTTTATATGATCAATTTAAAAATATGTTGTCAAAGGAAAATATCAATAGAACAAATTTAAATGTCCAACTTGCTCCAGTCTGAGATTCTTAACTTAGTGAATGATTGAATATGACGAACTGCAATGATATGAGTTCCTTTCCATTTTTGATACTTCATTACACAATGCACAATAAAAGGGGTACCGTCATTTTTATATAATCAACTAACAATATTATTAAGAAGCAGAAAATGTCAAAACAACACTTTTACATATCAAATTAGTTCCATAATGAGACTGTTAACATGCCTAAGAATTAAATCTGAAGAATAACCACTTATATACAAAAAGGCTAATAACTTCATCAAAACTTAACTGATCAAGCTTATTTTCAAACTTGCTCTGTATACTAGTCAGACTGATCACTCCTGTGAGTTTCAAGACAAAAGGCTGATTGGTTTTCCTTAAAATGCGTTATCAGTGTTGCATATATGCTGAATAATGGAAAAAAACAGCATAACTTTAAATTTGTAAAAATAGTCCAATCAAGCCAATTTTCGAACTTGACCTGCGTATTATTAACATTCATCAGTTCTGTAAGTTTCAAGCCAAAAGGGAAAATGGTTTTCCACTTATCAAGTTATTGGTGCTGCATTTATGCTGAAAAAAGTGAAAAAACAGCAAAACTTCCCTAAAAATGGCCCGATCATGCTGATTTTCAAACTTGACCTGTGTATTATAGATATTCATCAGTTTTGTAAGTTTCAAGCCAAAAAGTAATATGGCTTTCCACCTATGGTATTATTGGTGCTGCATATATGCTGAAAAAGTGAAAAAACAGCATAACTTCCCTTAAAATGGCCCGATCATGCTGATTTTCGAACTCGACCTGCGTATTATAAATATTCATCAGTTCTGTAAGTTTCAAGGAAAAAGGTAAAACGGTTTTTCACTTATTGTGTTATCAGTGCTGCATATATGCTGAAAAAAGTGAAAAGTTCTTAGAAGTGGAAGTTATTAGCTTCCATAAAATTGACCCGATAATGCTGATTTTCAAACTTGACCTGCATATTATGAATATTCATCAGTTCTATAAGTTTGAAGCCAAAAAGTAAAAAGGTTTTTCACTTATTATGTTATAGGTGTTATAAAAATGCTAAAAAAAATTTTTAAAAACCCAAAATAAACTGCTTACTGACATTTTTATATGATCAACTAAGAAAATTGATGAGATGGGAAAATATCAATAGAACAGTGTTAAATGTCCAATTTCCTCCATTCTGAGATTCTGAGTTTGTGAGTTTATTTCCATTTTTGACACTTTATAACATAATACACAATAACAAGTTTACCATCATTTTTACATAATCAACTAACAATGTTATAAAGATGCAGGAAATGTCAAACAAACACTTTTACGTATCTTATTAGTTCAATAATGAGACTGTTAACAAGCCTAAGAATTGAATCTGAGGAAATGTGAAAAACAGGCTAATTTCTAAAATAATGGCTGAAAAAAGTGAAAAAACAGCATAACTTCCATAAAATTGACCCGATAGCTCTGATTTTCGAACTTGACCTGCATATTATGAATATTCATCAGTTTTATAAGTTTGAAGCCAAAAAGTAAAACGGTTTTTCTCTTGTGTTATCGGTGTTGCATATATGCTGAAAAAAGTGAAAAAACAGCATAACTTCCATAAAATTGACCCGATAGCTCTGATTTTCGAACTTGACCTGCATATTATGAATATTCATCAGTTCTGTAAATTTGAATACAAAATGTAAAACGGTATTCCACTTATCGTGTTATCGCTGAGTGCACATCTGTGTCTGTACATAAAAAATAGATGAAATGATAGAGCAGTTTAAATAATTCAATGACCTACTTTAAATATAGCTACAACTGAAATAATCATATTTGCTTGTTTACAACCTCTCAAATTTTCTTATAGGATTAATGTAAATTACCAACCTGATGGAAGAGAGGGCTGTGAATTATTGGTATATCTAGTCTCTTGAGCCAAGTTCCCAGCAGCATGTCATCTGGGGACTCATCAGAAGGGCAGTATGCTGTCTTGGTGTCCAACAGGACACTCACTGTTTTCTGGCTTAGCACCATTCTGCAATATGTAGTATATGCTTTACTAATTTTTATGGTCATATTTTCATTCTGACAAATAAGAATTATAATAAGGTAAAAATAAATATTAAACATGCTTTGTTTTTGATGTTTCAAAACATCAACG